TTTCAATCATCCTCTAATATAATTTCACAATAAAAATCATCTTTTGAATTCATTTGTTTGCTTTTAAAAATCTTCATAAAATATAAAATGTATTTACGGTCATATGATTAGAAGAATAAATATTCTGATTATAATCAGATGACAATCATATCATAAACATTATGAAAAGAGATTAATAAATGTATTGTAATTTAAAAGACTAAGGGATATCCTAATGAAACGCTATTTATCATTATCACTATGTGTTTGAATTAGTTGTCAATATTTGAAACAGGGCTGGGTTCCAGTTATATCCAGATAGAACGTATCCTATGAGAAGGAACGCTCGTTCTAGATCCTACTACTGGAGACAACCCATATACTCTATAAGACTTGTTATAAAACGACTATATCGAGGTAACCCGTAGAAGATGTATCTGAGCCAATAGAAATGGAACGAAATTTAGTCATGGAAATTAAAAATAGATTAATTCAAACCTTTATCATTAATGACATAGACATCATATCTGTTGAAAACGTTAGTGACTATCGTGACTCAATAGTTCAGGGGATGAAGTATTGATGTTTGAAGCGAAAAATTAATAGGTTATTGTCACAATGTGAAAATCAACAGTAGGATGAAGGTACATCCATCTGATGAAACGTGTGTTCTAGATTCCACTACTAGCCACAATCCATCTATTTTAAAGTATCATCACAAACTTTTTGTACCGAATAATTTTATCATCAATAGTCTGTTACAAATCATGTATATCATCAGAAATTATAAATGTAATGTGCTGGAAAGCAAAACATGAAATTAGATGCTAGACTTGAAAACGTTCTTCTTTAATTGTCTGATGTAATTTACTATAACTTTATCAACGTAATGACTGTTAAAGAGCAAAAGTGAAGTAAGATCACAATTATCGAATTTCTAAATTCATTTGAGGCTCAACAAAGTATATCCTTATATCCATCAGTTCAAACACTAAAATATAATTAATTAATTATTTATTACACTAACTATTCATTGAACAATCAAAAAGCTCAGATAGATACGTTTGACAATGCTACGTTTTTATCTAAACAGGAGACACTGATAATATTGACAAGACCGATAGTTTATATTCTGTTACTTTAACTAGATCAACTAATTGATGTAATAGAAAAGCATTATGAGCTAATTATATTGTTTATACGGTTTATAGAGGCCGTTAACTTTTCATAGTTCAAATTAAAAAATGACATAAGATAGGTAACCATTAAACAGCAGTAAGCAGTAGACAGCTGTTTCATTCGAGTATAAAGCTCTTAAACATTGTGCATTGACTACTCCATCACAGAGGATAAACCCGGAACTTCTGATCTCAGGTGCTAAAGTTTATCTTTTGGGCCATTAAAAAGGGAATCCAATTAAAAATATATTTAACTTTTTAATCATTTCACAACCATCTTTCACTCCATACAGTGAATAAATGTGTTACACCTGATATGATTGAACTCCACTGGTCACAGCTTTTTACAAGAACTACCAGAATCTCATTTAGTATTTAGTCAGTAATGAGCACAAGATTAATTTGATGATTAGATTATCTTCTGACTTATATACAAAGTGATAAAGCTTAATGTTAGTTGTGTTTTTTTTAATTATCATGGGTGGATATCTGAGTGTATACTAAGTTATCATAAGCTAATCAGATTAATCGTAGATTGTAATAAGACAAATATTTGAAAATATTATAATGTAATTTGATAATTATTCAGGGTAAAAAAAATATAACATTCATCATCATAATTTGTTCTATAGTAGTGATATAGCATTAGTAAAACAAGAAATATAATTATTGGAAATTTATACTAATTTCATGATGACTTGGTGAATCACAATGGATAAGCTCCATACTGTATTGTAAACTAAAGGATTTTAACTATGTGATTCAAAGTCATTTTAATCACTTTGATGGAAAATGATTTAAGAGTTCTATTCCTTATAAATAGCTAAATGGTAGCCACCAATAGAAAAGTTACAAACTAGAATGATACCAATGTATAATCCCATATGATTATCAGTGGTCTACTGATTAATGTCAATTCATGATCATTTCTTTCCAACATATTTAGTTACTTAAAAAGAGTTTATTTAAGCATTGAAGGTTATGTATTAACTTATCACTTATGGGATGTTTGATGAGACTAATTGATGGACGACTTTTGAGCGATGTTAGACTGACCTTGAGAGTGTCCAGTTAATAACTATGATCAGATCAGGGTTATAAACCTGTGTGAACAATTATTGTTATGATTTACAGTTGATGGTCAACGTTAAGAATTAGATTTAGGGTTTTCATCACTAACTGACATCAACTATAATGCCAAAACTTTATTTAACCAAATGGATGAGTGAATTTCGCGCCAAAATCCGAGACCTGTTATCTTGTACCTTATTGTTTCATCCATAAATTATAGTCTCGCCGGATGTTCATTATTATGCTTTAATTAAAAGTGATTATCTTGACGTATAATCGTAACACAAAAATGCAAAATAATCCAAATGATCACAAATGCTAATAATCCAACTCGTCCAAACTAAATTTATTAATAATAACGAAACATAATACAATGAAAGTAAATAATTAATAGAATAAGAGGAATTTAACGGTCAAATTATTGGACAGTACAAACAGTAGTTGTATCTGTACAGTAGAAGATATATAACAGAAATACTGTATGAATTAATGGGTTTGAGATAATATTCGCCGTAAAGTACTACAACAAGGTACATAGAACTATCTTTTCTATTTGTGAATAAATCTATTACAACTTATAAAACATGAATTCTAGGCAACCATTTATGTAAAATTTACTGATGTGATCAATCATCATCTAAAATGGTGAGTGTAATAAAACAAACTTTAATTCCACTTATCGTTTGTTCATTTAGAGAACTAGATAAAACTGAAATAATCTGAACAATCTAATTTCCTCAACTGAGACTTAATCCTGTCATAGAGCTGATGAATTTAATCACAGACTAACTATTTAACTTTATTCAATCTTGTTTTGTTTGAGTGAAATATAAAAGGAAACGTATATTTTGAGTAAATCAGTTTTAACATACATATTTGTCAAAATAACTTGGTTAGTCCACATTTTCAACAAAAAGGAGAAATACTTCATCAATTTTCTTTTGCCATCGAACTAAATGATAACTGCGTTCTCACTTGTAACTTACTTTGATACAGATTATTAGTGTTTAAGTGAGAAGTTATAACCTATGTAGTGGAGTGGTCTTCACCTAGATCATCAGATAAATATCACGCTACAGTTCACATTGACTTCGATTAAAAATATGGATCACTGGATTTTCACTAAACTGTCTACATGAAGGATACTTGGCATGAAATTTTTAGTTTCCTCTACTCGGAGGAAATTTGAAGACAATCTCTTTAACTGGTTGACAGACATATTTATTTATTTGAACATATAAATACTGGTATGAAGGAGCACCGGATACATATGCGTCACACAAGTCACTTGATTTGTGTGTGGGCTGTGATACTGCCTGGGTGCCCAGACCGAAGCAGGATACTATATTTATTCATATCAAAAATTCATTTATGTAAATACTTTTATATAAAAAGAGAATGGAAACTGAAATTTTGTTGCCTATTTACTACATATAATCAATCAATCATTCATGCGACAAACATCTTTAGTTTTATAGTCTAATTCCACTTTGTTTTTCAGGAATGTGATCAAGTTCATATTGATGATATACGTGGAGATGATAATTATCAAGATTTAATGTAAGTGAATAATAATGTTTGTTAAAACTTATCGAAAACAAAAAAATATTAATTTCTATGATATGTATATATACATATGTATACCTTGTATGCTACGTGATTGAGAGTAGTCCCCAGGAAACCCTGGATCTCGGGATCGTACTTGTTGATATTCATCAGTAAGGGTTACTAGCAATCGTTGAGCTGATTATATTTCATATGGGATTCGAACCCATCTCATCATTTTAACAGAGACGGAAATTACCACTGAGCTACCTCTATAGAGACGAACCTTCTGTAGGACTGAGGCATTTCCTAGTAATTTTTTACTGAGCAGTGACCAATTTCATTTTTGTTTTGTCCTTTATTATTGATCAAGTTCTATCGATTATTTTTCGATATGGTCATTAGTCCAAGTGACTAAGTTACACGTGATTTGGGCTCAAATCCCACGGGTATCACCGATTTCCTCAAGATTTTAGGTACAGCTAACTGACAAGTACAGGCTAGCACAAAACCTAGATTTAGGGTTTCCTATAGAGTAATCTAGACTTGTGACTACATCAGTACTTAATCGATAGAATTCAATTAACACCAAAGGTTTAGTGATTAGTCAATTCCATATAACTTGAATTTGTAGTATACATTATCGATTTAAATTTTAATCAAATACTAATTGATATATATGATCATTTGATTAATTAACTTACAAACAATAACAGATTATTCATTGTACATAAGTGGTTATTATGATTCATTAGTATTTCTCGGCTTCTAATTTGATGGATAATAAATACAATGGTAATATTAACATAGGTATATATGGTGTGTGATTGACAAATCACTCTGATAACGAAGTCTGTTCAAATTGTAGTAATAAAATTTATAACCTCACTTGAAATAATGGACAGGAACTCTAGCTCATGATCAAACTATTAGATCATTGGATTGTATTGTCTGTAATTCAGAAATGTAATTCAATTCTATACAATTCAGTGGAATAATCACAATGTGCTAACAACAAACTTCAGACTTTCAGATAACCAATTTGATGCATATACTGGGAGCATACTAACTATAGTAACAGTATATGTAAATATCCATTCAAAATGATGACAAATGATTCTTCATTTCCTAGATGTTTTTTGAGAAGTTTCTACTCAACGCCGATTGGACTAACAGTCTTCTGACGTTTCTGAGCCTCTAGAGCCTTTAAAGAGGGTTATTTTGGGGCACCCAGCAGAGAAATACGTTGAAATCAAGCAGCTTTATCTCAACTAACTACCATAAAAAATTATCATATAGTTATCATGATTTATTGATAACGAAGTAAATAAAGTTCAACACCTATGCGCAAGTTAGTGACTAGCTAAGTTCGGTAGTTCACTAGATAACGTGTTGGCATTTGAAGTGAAAGGTAGAACATTCGAGTGTTAGTGTGGGCATTAGCTACGAGATAAGGATACATCCACTTGACAAATCCTAGAAAGGATGAAACGCTCATCCTTGATTCTATTGTTAGCTATTATCCAACTGTAATAAGTGTTTTTAATTAAACATGTTTTGTCAAGCAATGTTATCAACTAAACAACTATTGTTTAGCAGAAGGCAGTGAAAGGATAATTCCTCCTAGTATGTGATTCCTTAGTAGTATACAATCATGACTACCGTGTAGATCGAACTCAAGACTTTCAAGCAGTTGCGACTATTACATCACCTTCAGACCATTGAGCTTTAATGTGAAATGGCCCGTTTTTCTCGTTTCATAATATTTATGATAGCTCAGTAGCGTCATCCATTGTTCAGCTTAACTTTACCATGCACTAACATTTCAAAATAGCTACATACATATTCTTACCATCTCTAATTTTTATTTATTAACTCTGCAATTAAAGTGTTGAGCAATTTTCATGCGCGATTTTATAAAGCTTTTTTCCTTAGTAATTCTCACCATGATTTTTTTCATCTAAACTATTTGACCACCACCACTATCTGCCCGTACGCACTCATCTCCCTCTCTTTCACTTTCACATTCAAACTCATTAACCAACATACCAGAGAACAAATATAGATATAAATGATTATATGCACTAACATTGCATACACATAAACAAACATGCTTACGGACATAAGCATGAAGATACCAACAAGTAGACATACACAGAGAGAATGAGATTTCACATTCCATTGATTATAAATCGACTTACGAAATATATACTTATGTAATCAGACTCTGGGTCAAATTTCATTTTCTTTATTCAAATTTAAAAAAAATTTCGACAAAATATTTTGAATAGATTAATTTGATTGGTCAGAAGATTTTTAGGGCAGAAACTCCATTTTAATATTGTAATTTGTCTAAATAATCTGTAAAAATCAAAATATTATATTTTTATATTATTTGATGATAATTAATTGTTGTAATTATCATAAAAATATCATCATGAAGTGAAAACAGTTGAAGGACTAGCCGAAAACCAAAGAGTACTGGATAGCTGATTGATGAAATTTTTAGGGACTACGGAATAATCGTAACGCCGTCGTTCAGATAACACGGTGGACACGATACATTTCAACTATCGTGTAAAAACCAAATAAACATCATTCCCAATTTCAGTTTATTCACGATACAATGCGTTAGGTATCTAGCGGGATCTGTGAAAACTAACTCACTCCAAACTTGGTAGGCTTCATTGATCTGAACTTCGTATAATGAACCTATGATATGGCAAAGAGACAGACGGATTAATAGAGAATGGATTTCCTTGATTGCTTGGAGTTAAAAAAACTAACACAATTTTCCACAAATCAGAAAGTACCTCTATACGGTCCTCAGAATGCTTAGAATAAATGAGAAAACTCCTTTGCTATCGAAAGGTAGCAATGAAATAGTGTAAAAGCAAGAAACCAGCAAATAGTCATTCTTTCTCATGAATATTGGATACAACATAAGAATAAATAGGTTCTTTTTTGTTCCACTTAAGCTTTCAAAAAAAAGCATTTATTTGTAAGGATTTGAATCTTTTTTGCTATTTATGTCAGGGATTGAATTTCGGTCAATATCTTTTGATATATGTACATGCTGAGCAGATTCCCTCAATATTACTACTAAGTCACAAGTTTCCAAGTAAATTTGGATATTGGCCACCAGCAGAATTCACCAGGTATATACAGCTGACGAGTCTGAAACAGAATGAAACGTGCGTCCTTGATTCTACTGTTAGTCGCTATTCAGGTTCAAACAAATAATTCTACCAATTCAATGAAAAAGAGATAATGTTTAACATAAATCATGCAAATTTACCAGTTCTGAAGCTAAGAATAATACTCAAGTATAACACTGAAGCATATTTTCAATAGAGTATGAATAGTTACTATCATTATTAGTAAGGGTTTGAGTTACTCTAGTGTTGAGATTCAGATAGAAACACTTGTCCTAGATCTCAGTGCTAGGCGTAATCCATCAATTCTAAATATTGAAATCATTATTTAATAAAGTTGCTTGTCTGATGAAAGATAGCTTTCATCAAAGTCTGACATCAGCTGAAAAACTAGTGAGTACCGGGAAATTGTCTCGCTCATTTTTAAAACTCCTCTAGGGGACTTACGGAGCTAAACTTATGGGTTCCAATCTTAGCTGGTTTGTGCTTGTATGTGTGGGTTGAAACAGGACAACTGACCAGTTCTCTCTGGTTTTTAATAAGTTTTCAGCTAAAGTCAACTGATAACCAACATTACTTGAACATTCATCAAGTTCTAAATTGATTACTATTATGTTGGAAAATATAGTAAATTAAAATTAGTTAAGCAAGTAGGATGTTCGTGGCTCATGTATTAGTGATCAATATTATTTTGTCAGTAAAAATGATGAACAGAATTAGATTAATGCAAAGTGGAATCAACAAATGTACTTTACTGCTCATTGGTCAAGCAATGTAAATAGCTTAGTCCTACAGGAGGTTAGTAGCTTCTCAAATATGTCAGTAGTAACGTTTCTGGCTATGATATCAGATGATGCGAATAAAATCAATTCCTTCAATCATACAGCTGTAATACAGCTATAACATTTTGAAAACTTATTCTTCTGAAAAACCTTAGATTGGTTCTGGATATCAAATGTTCATTAGCCTGAAACATATCTATCTTTGATTAGAATGAAAATTCACTTGACAAGCCTAAAATAGGAAGAAAAGTTTGTCTTGTATTCCACTACTTATCATAATCCAGCCATATTAAAAACGTGTAACTTGATGGCAGTAAGGAGGCAGTTCGTTCAGTTTTCTGATACCAACAACGAGAAAACCCAAACCCTTACATATACATAACTAAACAAGTTTTCTCATAATTTAAAGATCAGAACACCACATAAGTGGCAATCTTGAGGTATGGGTGATTAGCCAGAGAACTCAATATCGAGTTATTATACCATATATTTGAACTTTGTCCCATCTACTTCAGTTTTAACAATCGAGCAAAATCAATACCTTTAAAATAGTGTTTCTCAAAACCAATTGCACGAAGCCTGTATATGGTCAATGAAATAGTTATATCAAACATATATTAATAAATAATAGCAGTAGTGGTGAGACAGAAGCGAAAGTGACTGTTTATACGCACCTAATCATGCATATGGAATGTGCACAGTTAATTTGTGTATTGAGTGATGAATATTCAACTTGTAACCTGAACTTATATCAGCTTACACATTTTGATTTTAATCTCATTATTATTAGTACTGTCATTATCATTATTCGTCTATTTCTATTTGTATTGTTCATTGTTAGTGTGTTAGTCTTACTCCCCGTTATTTTAACTGTTGATGTAACTAGTTATTTAACTAGTGTAGGGTTGTAAAGATTGTTTTTTAAATAGGAAAATAAATAGTAGATGAGGGAGGTATAGAGAATGACTAACAGATTATTTTTATTCGTTATAAAAAGACAATATCACGAAACAAATAATCAAAAAATTGATAACAAAATAGTTAGCTTTGTGCTAATAGTACCGTGGACCGACTGAAGTTAGACTTGTACACTGCTGGATGCCCTAATTATTGATCTAGAGGTTAGGCGTTCACTCGCAAGATCGAAGGTCCCAAGCTCGAGTCTCGTATGCGAAATTGTGGATTCACACTACTGAGGGGTCCCATACTAGTACGCAAAGGCCTTCCAGTGCTTCGAGGATTTTAATGTTGGTCTAGCTTGGATGGACTAATAAACTCAACTATTAAGATTCATAGATTCATTCAAATACTTATAATGATTGAATCAATTTCATTTTGTCCACGTATTATTATGCTCAATCGTGTTGAAGGGAGATATAAACTAACACATTGGTAGTTACCTTGACTATGGTAAAAAGCATATGTAGTAAACAAAACGTTTGTTTATTCCGTTTTAATTATTGAACAAAATTTACAGAAGTGAAATTTATCAGTAAATTTTAACGGTTTCTTGCTATCGTTACAGTTATAAGCGATTTGCTAGAAGATTGTCCATTTTTAATTAAGCATGGTTCACGGATTAACTTCACTTACACAACCACTGAAATTAAAAAAGGGTTCAATGGCTATTTCTCCCTAGTTTGAGACCCCTAAGGAGTGCACCCTACAGGTCTGTAATATATGGAGTTTAACCATGTTGGACATGGGACAGGATCCAAATGGATTAAGGTTGGGAGTATGAACTACTGCTTGCCAACTTAGTGGTCTAAAGATGGTGGACCTATCGCAAGACTCCACTACTGAGAAGTTTTAATCAAGGATGAGTTATACATACCAGTCCTTTATTGTATTGGATGATAATGTAAATAAAGTCATACAGTTATGTGAAATAACCTTATAGTTTCTGATTGTTTCTACTTTATTCTTTGGATTAGACAAACTCTCCAATCAATACTACTTTCTACATTCTTGTTTCGTCGTTATTATTAGGAATTATCGTTCAGACAATGAAGCATGTGGAGAAAATTCTTCAACAATATCACAATCGATTATTTTATCATCATCATCGTCAACAACAGCAACAACAACGATACATGCACCGATGACATCTTCATTAGAAACTTCATCACCCATAAATGGGAGTATGCTGTCACCACCACCAATATCCTCAGTAGCACCATTAACAAATATGATTGGAGAAATTCCAACTAGAGTTAATACACCGACCTTACATGGCAGTATGGAATGGATGCGTAAATTGGGATTTCGTTATCGTAGAATACGTGAAATCTATAACTATTCAAGGTAAGATAATAATCATAAAAATAATGGTAATAGTATCCGAAGTTATAGGTTTGAATAAATAATACAACTGGGTAACTATATGGTAGATGAATGAAAGTAATTATTAAAAAACAATGACCAGAAGTTTTTTAGCAGTTGTCACTAATCAACAAGGTGTATCTATAATCCTGATATAACTAATACTCCATGTCTAATTTAGATCCGGATCATTATGTTTTACATTATTTATAATTGAATAATGAAGTTTACACATGATATTAAGTATTGATTATCAAAGAAAACGTTTCTCTTTCTCAACTGTACTGATTTGATTATGTAAACAATTAACAAATATAAACTTAATTAAATTATTTAAAATAGCAGTTATAATAAATTTATTTACTAACATAAATTGTAAAAGTAAAGAATGCTTAACACTAATTGTGTAGTAGTGGAGAAGATTTGTAGCTCACGTGGATGATTGTGATGGAGTTTTGTTCTCTGAGCTGGATGGTTTGATCATGCAGGTCAGGTAGACTTCTACCTGAAGTTTGTGCTGATGATGTAGTCCAGAAAAAACAATGAAAGCTCCACAACCAAACCACCCAGCTCAGAGAACAAAACTCCATCATAATTGTGTAGTATTTACACAAATTTCCATTTAACATATTCAAAGTTGAAATTCATCAATAACATATTTTAAACATGTTTTCAATAGTCATCAACTGCCATACAATGTTTTCTACCAGTTCAGTAGATACAATAACTTTTCCAATAGAGATCATACATAAGTTGTATGAATTCCAGTGTACTCGTGTCTTGTTGTGCTTACATTTGAGTTTTCCAATATCCATAGTAATAATAATAACAATAATAATAATAATAATTTCTAAGCCTATTAGAATATCTCATGAGTACATACACTTGTGATATATAGTTATTCTGTCCAAGGAAATGGAGAATAGTAGGTTAACTGAAATGTTGTCACACTTAAAATTAGGTGATCCACACGTTTGATTAGATCACCTTATATGCTAAGTGATATAAATGTTACTTCCGAGCCTATATAACATAACATGATAAGGACTGTTAGGAAACCTAGATAATACTTTTAAAATGTCTACAGATACCCGGAAAAAGACAGAAAGTACTTACATTGATCAGTTCTGTGAAAACTTCCATAAAGATTTTAAAATCGATGGATTTCGCTACCGATATCTGACTGAATAAATAACAATTTGTTACCAGGTTTAGCACGCTTCTCAGAAGCTTCTACAAACCCAAAGTGATATATGGTGTTATAAATACGCTTGTTTTCTATACATAGACTAACCTTAGAAGTAAAGCTTATTGTAATTTTTATGTCTGTTTTCCTGTTCTAGATTCAAGCAGTAACTATTCAAATAGACTGACAAATTTTCATTTCTTTAGGAAAATCTAATACAAGATCTATTATATGGGTCACGTATTTTTGAATTACATTCATCTTCATGAAACTTCATCAAAACTATTTATTATTAGCACAGAAGTTTAGTAGGAGTTTTTGAATTTATAATTTTACGTTGTGGAATTTTTCAAGCTAGACACCTGTTGGAAACTATGACATCTTGAATGGCTGTTTTTCCATCCGATTATATGACTTCTCAGCGATGCAAAGCATAACATTACCAGGTATTAAAATTGGAACCTTCAGGTCACACGGCCGATATTCAACCTACAAACCACTGATTTGTTATTCAGTTCTTTACATTTTTCACCTCAGCTAATCATATTTGGCGTATGAAAATCTTTTACTTTAAATTTAATCTTTAATATACCAGTGAACTTTTAATTTAAATTCCAAAAACTGCGTCCTAAGAAATTAGGTAGACGTTCATGATGTTATGCGTAGATAAAGATGATTTATGAAGGCTAAATATATTCATCGGCTAATTATCTGAAGTTAAGTGATAAAGCGATAATCAAATGTGTGTTCTGTTTTATTTGTGTAACTTACCGGATACATTAACGGACATGAAGTTGATAGTAAGCTTGTTTCTATTTGATTTTAACTTATAAAATATGTAACCACGCATTTTCGAAAATCTTGGATTTGTAGCTTCTTCAACCTTAAATTATCGGCGGTAGAAAGGCTTTTTAAATACATTGTTTTATTGAAAAATATTAGTGCTTAATAAACAATGAAGTGAGTAATATTGATTTCACACGGAGTTTACGGCTAAAATGGAAGTAAAATTTGCTTTAACGCCACATATTATTTATTATTGCAACAGTAGTAAAGTGAATAATATGTATTAGTTGTTAGGATCTTGGAATTGATGTTTAGAACTGCAGTTGATAAGTCTTTTTTGGTACCTTGTGTGGATTGCCTCGTTAATTTCACTAAGTCGCAAATATTTTTACAAAATTCAACTGTCCATCAAAAAGAATCTAAAGTATAAAAAGTATATTTAGTACATAAACCTAAAATTCAGTCACATATGAATTAAAAAGGATACAGTGAGCAGAGAAATATTTGTTTTCAGTAGTTCCCAGTCAAGGCTCTAAACTGTTATACAATTAGGCATAAATTAATACCACATACTGGTGTCTCAGCAAATTTTATAAACAGAAATTTTTCATCCGGTCTCTATATTTACCCTGACCTTCTACTTAGTTACTCTTACGTTCCTCATAGTTTTCGCTTTCATTCAATTTTAAACACTGGTTCTATTTTCAAGTAATCTACCTATCTTAATAATCTGACTATATGATTTTCTTTGTACTCTTCTTACTAAATACATATAATTAATATTATAAATAACACCATACATTATTATCAACAGTTTAATTTCTAAATTACTTAACTCTTACACTTATTCCTACACAACTAACCGATTATGTAATCCTGTCTTTAGATTTATAATTCCATCCGCTGAGCTAATAACTAATTGAATAAATAAGTGAAAAAATCAACAAAAATAGAAATGACTGATCTTGTCTGGAATCTCAGAAAATGTTCTTTGTACTTCTAAAGCAAAGACATTTTAAATTCGTGAATTTAGGCATATAAACTAATTAGCATCTCAGTTTAACAATCCTAGTTATTTAAAGTGGTTTTTATGGTTAGTGTATTTTAGAAAGGTTTTTAATGGGATGGGGTTGCCAACCAATCCCCATCCTTTACCCTGCCTTGGGACCTACAGTAAGCTTATTAGGACTTCAGGCCGAGTTATTTTTGGTTATTTTCTAGTAGAAATGTTAAAAATAATAATCTTACTGAATACCTCCTGCTCGAATTAACGGAATACTCCAACTTAACCCCCAGACATCTTAAATGTTTTCTCTGTTAATATTGTCAATCTTCCTTAAAATATGTCACATACCTGATTTTCACATTGTTATAACTTTCATTTTATTTTGTTTTGTATATATTCACAACATTAAATACTAAAAGCCCATAACGACCAAATGCTCCCGTAATAATAGATTATAAATTTATAATGATCTTCAGAATAAAATGACAAATACTTTAGCAGAGAAATTCAGTAATACGTCATGACAAAACAGACTCTAAGAAAGGGAAGTTCATTCTCAGCCAATTAGAAAGCAACTTGAGAAAATGGTTTTTAATGAAAAAGTTATAATGACCAAGTAAAATTAAAATGTATACAGTATTTGAACTTGATTAATGAGTTTTCAAAGTTTCTTGGAATTTTTCCAAATGTTTTAACGATATAAGTATTTGTCCATCTGTATATTATAGGTCGTTTTTCAGCTGGAGGTTATAATCCCTTAAAATTATATAGACTAATCATAGCTCTAAACCTAACCTAATATTTGATCATTTTACAAAATACATGTTACTATAATTTTGGTATCAGAAGGGTTTTCATGGATATTATAGTAATTTCGGTAATTGAGATCATGAGTCAAACGCTTCTGATATGAATCAACATTTACTCACTAGTGACTGGCTTCAAGAGGTATTTCCTGAAGTTCTAGTGAGAAGCAGTGATCAGTAAAGTTCAACCGGGTCTGTTGTGAGATAGTAACTCACTGAAAACAATGGTGAATGTGTCGCTCCATTTCGGGGATTAGTTGGAGTTAGACATTAACACCGTTCCAATATCACGAAGCGGGATCGTGTATTCGCACCGCTGAGGAGTCTCATACTACAACGAAACGGCCGTCCAGTACTTCCAGGTTTTCCATGATGGTCTAGCTTCAAATGACTCATGATCTTAACCAGTAAAATTTAGTATTTGTTTTGATATTTAAAACACAATTGTATGAACGAAGAATATTCTTTTCAATAATTTCTCATCAGGTTCTACAATTATAAATCCAAACTAATAATCCATAAAATGGGTCAGATTTAAGGTAAAATACATCATTTGGAAATTGTAATTGTTTGTTATATAAATAAAATCGTTAATGTTGGGGCTGACTAATAATGAAGTGTTAACTTGAATCAGTTTATAAGCGAAATAAAACTGTGAGATAAATGATCAGAATAAATATGGTCAACATGGGGTAAGAGAGAGAGAATATTGTGACTACAAATTGGAAATTGCACAATATGTAAAATAATTAAGTCAAATATAGTAGATTTAGGGGTGGATATTGAATAAATTCCTCAAGAGGGGGTTATCAAGTGTAAAGACAATAATAATAATAATAATAATAATAATAATAATAATAAGTTTGGGACATAAAATGAACATTAATTAGATTACGTCACCACATTATAAGATTAATTATTAGCTAGTTGGCCAGGATAAAAGGAGTGGATGAACATACTTCTTTTGGATACAAAGCTCTGGCTTTTTGATCCGAATAGCAATTGTTTCAGCCGTCTGTAGGATTCGCAGTCTGACGGAATTAGGTAGACTGCTGTTGACACGATAGACTATTGCAAAAGATTGCTCCATGTTGGCTGTATGTCCTGTTTGGACTAAATGGTCTAAGATGGAGCTGTTAACAGTTTTGACAACACCTTTGCTTAACCACACGGGTAGGTGCTCACGAGCCCGAATGTACAAATTCCTACAACATCTGCCAATATAACTTGCTCCACAGGAGCAGTCGAACTGATAGATACAGAAGGAGGTGGCTAGTCTAGGTAATTTATCTTTCAACCTCGGAGAATACTAGTTGTAGTTTAGCTGCGTTAAAAGTCCTTTGAATTGATCTACTTAACTGATGAGAAATTATTGAAAAGAATATTCTTTGTTCATACAATTGTATTTTAATATAATGGGAATTTTTCAGCAATTAAAAGTTTTGATATTTTATTTGCTTACTAACTTTGTCGTTCATTGTATTGTCGAATATTTATTGAATTGCATTACAGAATGATTTCTACTAATTAAATTAAAGTATAATATTTTCTATCTTATTTTAGCATATTTATTGCTTACAAGTAACTAATTGCTACAAAATAGTTAAATAGAGTAAATTCAAATGTGTTTGCTCTTTTTATTCGACTTTTGGATTGTAATTAGATGATTAAAAAGTATTATTATTATTATTCGAAGTTTCGCATCAAATAGTGATTTTGGTTAGATAACCATTGAAAACCAGGTAGCATTTGACAACTATTTAGTCCTATTAGAGAGCTCATCTGTAGACTGCATCAATGACTTTTTCAGGAATCCATCTCACAAACTTTGGGCTTTACAATGAACATTTAATTTAAAATTCAAAAACCTTCATAGGACCCTATAAAAGTAATTTCATTCATCAGATTATTTTAAAGAAACGTTACACATATCTATTACGAAGTTATATGAGCTAAAAGTCACACCGTAGCTATTTTGTTGTAGTTTGGAACTACTTATAGAATTATTAAAAACCACAAAACTCCATTCACAGTGGTAATCCATCACACGGTCATTTATCTCACAAGGCGTACTCTTTTCTCAAGTTTTCAGGCGAGCCTTACTGATAAGTCCTGACTAATATACTACCTTGATTCAGAGTATCCTCTCAACTATTTCGAACCAACTAACATTCAATGGAATTATTTATTATTCACTACACAGAAAAAATCTCATATAGGATTGAGTTCAGAATTATCAGTGTATACAGTTCATTGTAAAAGGCTATCAAAATAAACGTTACCTTTAAAATGATTTTTTTTTTAAAACAACTTATTTTCATAATGCGAGCTTGTAGAGATTGTAGTAAGTTTAATGGTTGAATTAATGAGTCGATCTAAGCCAGGTCACTATTAAAAACCAATCCCATAATAAAGATGAAATGGGTTTATGAATTTAACTATTAAAAAAATTTATTTTAAACTAAACATTATTTCCTTCAAACATGAATATTATCTACACATTTCCTCTCTCCCTTTCCCTCCCTCTTAATTTCTTAGACATAATGTTAGTGTACTTTTAGGTTATCCTAAAGCAAATCAATGGATTCATTTAAAAAATAATTTGGATATATTAACTGATCATTGGTTAAGTATGGCTATAAAAGCAACAGAGAAAATTAATAATCGTGAAGATAGTGTTAATATATTAGTAACAACAACACAATTTATACCATCATTAGCAAAAATTTTACTATATGGATATGGTAATTCATTTCAAATTGAAAATATTTATTCTGCTACAAAAGTTGGTAAGTTTCAAATCATTTTTTTAAATATTAAAAGTATTTTTATATACACATTTAAGTTGAATGGTTAGTAAAGTCAGAATACACGTTTCATCTTATATGGGCCTCATCAACTGAGTGTAAGTAGATACCAGTGTTGATGTTCATACTGAAACCCGAATCTAATATCTTCCGTTTCAAATATGAATGCGGTCTCTATTGAGTCCAAATAGCCATTAGATTTGTTCAGTAAGTATGAAGTTATACATATGTAAGAGTTCAGATTCTTGAGTTGTTAATATTGTGGAATCCATTTGGTATATGTTCGTCTTGTGCAGACTGCTTCGTTCATCGCCTTTAGTTTTATTATAGCACAGCTCAAACCCGTGCATACTTCTGTTATTATGTTGTGTTGCTAATAGAAATAGGACTATTTATTTATTTGACAGTACATCTTTACTAGCCTGGTTTTTATTAATTTTTATTGATTCTATTAAGAATGACTAAATCTTATAAATGCATCTGCAGAACTGAGTAAATCTGATACAAGAATAACCCCTCTATTTTAACTCAATAATCAACTATATTTAGCAGCACGTATTCAGTCATTTTTTATCTATCAATAAATAGTAATAGAATATATGGACTCATAAAGTTTTCCTCTATGGAGGTGACTTTAGTAAACCAACAACTCAGTGGATGATACAAAGGCATTAGGAAAATGATAACTATCGGATTCAATGTGAAATAGTGGTTTGGTGTGTAAAACAATCGGTTTCCAACCAGTTATCGGTGGATGAAAATTCCTCTCGACCTATTTTAATCCAGCTAGCTGGATCGTATCACTAGTGATTACACAAATTTAGTGATACTATCCCAGTACATTAACATGTAACTCATGAGTTATATTAACTGGATGTAAAAGGAAAAAGCAGCATGTAAGGTTTCAAAGTGACCAGCTGACAAGTCACAGATAAGAAGCACTATTATCTATCAATAAAAAAGACTTGTTCCACATTTTTATAAGTTATAGATACTTAACATATCGAGGAGAGGTTTCTGAAAATAAAATAGTAAGTTAAGAATAACATAGCATCTTGGACAAATTAGTATCAACTCGACTTGGCTTAATCACAACGAGAGGAATTAACAAGATAAAAAATAGAGAAATCGAAGTAATATTATCAGCATTAGTGATAGCTACTACATATAATGCAGTTTGAAAAAAGAATAAACCAAGAGAACTGAAAAGTATACACTTATATTTGGAGGAATATAAGACTTGAATACATCTGAACAACTCAAACTAAGTTTGAAACATGCTTAGATTTACTGGAAAGTACACAGAAAAGTGAACTTGTTACGTATGCATCCTAGTAAAATCATTACTTCTTGAACAAAATTTGAGTTCTTAACAAGCTGACAATGTAGTAGTTGAATGTAAAACAAACCATGTAATAAGATGCGAATGAATTAAAGTATTTGACGAAATCCGAACAGTTTGTTTCCTTGTAATGTAAGTTCGATTGATGTACTTTAGGAAAGGCGTGGAACCTCCATCCATAAGGTAAGAGATTCAAGACTCGCAACACATAATTCGTTTTGAGAATCCAGGTAGTGCTGCTTGCCTTCACACATGAATTGTAGCTCAGTACCGAGTACAAGAACCCGTAATTGAAAAATCAGCTGAATCCCTATGTATCTTCAATGAATAAAAATATTATCAAAATCCATCTCGTAAATTACTAAATTTTCTCAACGGTGTATTGCTTATAAGAATAGTATCAGCTACTTGAATTGTTTTCATTCAAGGATTACGTACTTGGTTAAAATATACATACTATTTTATCGAAGTATAAATCTATTTGTGACAGTAATCTTAGTAAAAAAAATCGAACAGTAACGATCCATGTAACATATAACTCCATCTATTCGATATTATATTCATAAATTCGTAATTTAGATTAAATGAATTCTGAGCATATTGTATCATTATTTGTACTTTTTGTACTCCTTTATCATTGATATTCACCAGTGGATATGAGCTCTTCAAAAGTATTCTTAAATATTATCTGTATCTATAAACTGGTCATATTTTAGGTGTTCCCTGGCCTAGTATTAATGTTCATACAAAAACTTAACCCAGTACCCTTTGCTTCAAATGACAACACATTAGAAACTGGGTTCATGGGACGTATTATTTATCCAGGTAAATCCAACTGATGAGTACCAAACAGAATGAAGCGCATTTCCTGGATCTCACTGTTAGCCACTATTCATATTATATATATATATATATATATATATATATATATATATATATATATATATATATATATATATATATATATATATATATATATATAAACCTCGTTGCTTATAACAAATGTATATAGATACCTAAATGAATTTTTTTTTGTATCGAAATAGGTAAAGAGAATTGTTTTGAACGAATCGCATCAAGATTTGGAAGAAAATGCACTTACGTAGTTATTGGAGATGGTAAAGAAGAAGAAGACGCTGCAAAACAGGTTAATTTATTTTAGTGAATAAATTATAATTTGCTAGTGACAGACAACTAGCAATAAGGTTTTGCAACTATATCTATTGAGCTATGTGTGAATCAGTAATCGTCTGATTGTGGGCATACATTTTGATGAAAATTTTTCTACTTTCACAAAATTATAATTATGATTCGTATACTACAAGTTATGATTAAGTTCCTGCATTCAGTTATTGAGAATCCAACTTTGTAAACCTGACAGTTGGCTGTTTCTTCTGTATTATTCCCATCTAGTCCTCTTCACTATTCCTTTCCAGACTCTTGAAAAAAGATTACACTGTGTTTCTAAGGTACTCGATACCTGCATGTTAGGTTAGTGGTTTATCTTCCGAATTTATTATGGGAATAACAATGAGAACAGTCATTCAAAATCTTAGGTGAAACTATCAAGCGTTATTTTATCAAATACAAATAATTTATTCTATTCATAACTTTCTACTCGTCTATCTTCTATGATACAAGTACATTAGAATTCATACTGATGCATCGAAATCAAAAAGCTCAAATTTCCTATTGAACAGACGCATTAACTAATTACTTTCAAATTTTCTAACATGTATACTCCAATATTAGTGATGGCATATGCTCCATTGGGAGTAGCAGGCGTAAGTAAGTAAGTAAGCAATATTAGTGAGAACTTGAAGTAATCTGTTCAGATATTGCAATAAAGAAACGATGTGTACTAGACTCGAGTTTTAGTGTGAACAACAACACAGATGTCGTTATATTCAGTCAACAATTTCTAAAATAGGACGAAATGGACATTTCAGATTCTAATGCTAGTAAAAAACTCAACTCTACTAAAACTTGTGATCTAATTTCACTATTCAAACGATCCGTTCAGCATGCATACATACTAACCGAGACTAAGCATATTAAATCTAAGAGATCGATGACAGGAAATTACAAACCCTTGCTGAAGTAACAACGATGTTTGAAGTATATAATGAGTTCACTGGGTATTTCAATGGTTTCTCCTAAAGCACATGCAAGTTATTAAGTGTAATTCGTTTAAAATAATCAAATACATTTTATTGCAATATGTCGATTGTTCAATAGTGAAAAGTAAATTGTTTGAAATAAGAATATTGCAATAAAACCAAGAGTTGATAACAATAATTGAGGTTGTAGTTCCAGAATACTGAAGATCATGATCTTATTAATAACTCAAACAGTTAGTCGGACTATGTTAGAAATGCTTAAATCTAACTCAATAAAAGATGTTAAAGTCAAGGAGACGAAATGTCTATGTGGAGCCTTTAGGAACCTGGTCGTGGTAGTATATTCGTTGAAAATCTCAAGAGAACAAAATTCCTAACTGCTATCTAGGAGACTATATTTTATCTAACCTATAACGATAAAAATCGTGCTAATAAACTGTTTAAAAATTTCTACAATTCATATCTTAATATCACATTCAAAATGCGCATGGAAGAAATTAATGACACCTTTCATTGCCTAAATTTAGGTATCTTTGAAAGAAATGATTGAACCTGTCAAATATATATATATATATATATATATATATATATATATATATATATATATATATATATATATCAGTTGACAGCATCATCTTTTATTGATTTAGATTTAAGCATTTTTAACACAACCTAACTAACTGTTTGAGTCCTTCAATGTGCTTAAAAAATCTTTATCCTATTACTTAGTAACACCATGTTCTTCAGTGTTCTAAAACTTACGTTTGTTTCTCCTAAATGGAGCATGGACCCCCGACCAGAATTCTCCAACCCACTCTGTCCTGGGCTTTCCTTTCTAGTTCTATCCTACTTTTGTTCATTTTTCTTAGGTCTGTCTCCATTTCCCGACTTAATGTGCTCTTTAATCTTCCTCTTTTCCTTTGACCTTGAGGATTCCGTGTGAACTATCCAATTTGATCTCGTTTTAGTTTACAAATCAAAAATCTTAATAGAAGTGAAAGCTTCAGAAACTTAAAATGACTAGAATGATTATTGATTACATTTTAATCTTTAAGAGGTATATCCTGGAGTTCTAGTGAGAAGCAGTGACCAGTAGAGTTCAACCGGGTATGTTGTGAGGTAGTAAATCACTGATGACAATGGTGGATATGTCGCTCAATTTTGTGGATTGGTTGAAGTTGAGCATTAACGCTATTTGTGCCGGCTTAGTAGTCTAGTGGTTAAGGACTCACGCGCAAGACTGATAGGTCCTGGGTCCGAATATCTCGGAGCGGGGTCGTGGATGCGCCCTGCTGAGGAGTCCCATACTAGGACGAAACGGCCGTTCAGTGTTACCAGGTTTTTCATGATGGTCTAACTTCAGTCGACTCATGGTTTCAACCATTGGAATTACCAAAATCTCCACAAAACCTATTCCTATATTCTAAATGAATTACACACTTAATAACGTGCCTATGCAGATGGGAAGAATTTTTTTAAAAACCTGTTTTTTTAATTTTATTTTGAAAATTTTAGTTCCACTGGCCATTTTGGAGAATAAATACTCATTCGGATTTGAATGCTTTAAATCACGCTTTGGATTTAGGATACTTATAATTTAATAATCTTATGTGAAGTATTCATTTTTGATTTTTGCTCTTGCATTATTATTATTAGTAGTATATTTCATATAATATAAATTCAAACAACTTACGTTTTTATTTTAGAAAATAAAGTATCTATCTTTAACAAATCTAACATGTACATATTTCATCTTAGATATACAACATTATTATTAATTACTTGATTCATTTCTCAGCGTTTGTTTTGTAATAAATATTGAATCTATCAATTAACACATTATTAATTCTGTGGGTTTTTTTTAAAAAAAAGTATATCCCAACCAATGCGAAAAACACAGGTAACATACTGTGGATATCTAAATTCGATAGAATCTAGTGGCATGAATAGCAAGCTTCAATATATTGTATGCCAATATTTCATAAACATTCAATCGATTATGAACAACAAAGACGATAGATCTGGAGCAGATAGCATACTCATTCAAGGACAGATGTAAGAGAAGAGATTATTTAGCTGACATTTAAAAGCGGTACATGTTCATGATAAGATACCAAAATGATTCTGATGCCAAACTGGTTTAGCGAACCTAGTTCATTAAAACTGAGTTGATCAGCACCATATGTTGAACCAATATATAATTACAAGATAAATGGAACAAATACTGATTGAAAGTAAATAAGCTAATTCAGTATTTTTTTCATATTTCCAACTTTTAATGAGTGAGAATAATTGACAACCTCAAAAATCTGACCTAAAGAGTTCGTATTGGTGAGCTATTTCTTTTCGTAAAACATTGTGATAGTTTCCTATTGAAATAATCCTAAAACATAACGCCCTAAGATTAAGTGACGGCTGTGAATAAACATAGAATGTCCTCATTTATCTCAGTCAACAGGTATTTACAGAGTCAGCGACTGATTCCTTGTAGATATATATATTTCACAGATTGAAATCATAGATTTTAATCTGTGAAATTTCTAAAATCTCCACAAAACCCATTCAGATATATATATGCCTGAAGGATGACAAAAGTTCGTTGGCTTCACAAATAAAATTAATTAATTAGCTATTCATGTTTATTGTAAACCATTTTCGATTAGTTTAAATGTTGCAACTTATTCACTTACTAACTGATTCTTATTCGTCATAGACAGTTCAGTTCATTAATTGTGGGGTTAGACAGGGTTGCCCAATCTCACCATTCCTCTTCAACTTTACCATCGACGACATTCTGGAAACAGCTCTGATGAATGTAAGTAACGGTGGTGTGGATCTGTTGCCTGGAGAAAGACTTCTTGACCTTGAGCATGTGGACGATATTGTCTTACTGTGCGATAATCCCCAAGACATGCAATCCGCACTTAATCAGTTGGCAATCAGTGTCCGTAGGTATGGTATGAGTTTTGCCCCTTCGAAGTGCACAGTACGTCTACAAGACTGGCAGGATTCTAACCCTGTACTCACCCTGGATGGTGAGCAGATAGAAGTAGTCGAGAAGTTCGTGTATCTGGGTAGCTGCATAAGTGCTGGTGGTGGTGTGAGTAATGAGATCAATGCACGTATAGTGAAAACCAGAATGGCTTATGCCAATGTGGGCCATCTTTGGCGCCTTCGTGATGTTAGTCTGGCCATAAAAGGTCGGATCTACAACGCGTCAGTGAGAGCAGTTCTGCTCTATGCTTGTGAAACCTGGCCTCTCCGAGTTGAGGACGTTGGACGGCTTTCTGTGTTCGACCATCGTTGTCTCCGAAGGATTGCTGACATCCAGTGGCAAAACCATGTTAGTAATGGAGAGGTTCGGCATCGTGTGTTCGGGTGCAGAGACGATAATGCAATTGGTGTCACCATCTTGAAACACCGACTTCGGTGGCTTGGACATGTTCTACGAATGTCGTCCCAGAGAATTCCATGTCGTGCATTATTTGCCGACTCTGGGACTGGTTGGAGAAAGCGGAGAGGTGGTCAGTATATGACACGGTGTTGTGGTATGAAAGAAAGCTGCAAAGGGCTGACTTCTGTTGGTCCTTCACGACTCCCTGGTTGGGGTCCGAGAGATGGTGCTACACAGTGGCTAAAGACGTTATCAGATATGGCTCAGAATAGAAGCCAGTGGCGATCCTGCTGTAACCTTTTACTTTCTTCATAAAAGTGGTTGTTTCTTCCTTAACTGGAAGATTTATTCTGATTGTACTTTTCCATTCCCCCATTATGACTATGATTATTACTACACTCCCTTACACCAATCTCTTCATTATTGTTTTTTTTAAATGTTTTTTTCGTTCTTCATTTTTTTTCTTAAATTCTCATTGTTTTGTGTGGCGCATATATATTTGGCGCACTCCTGTACCAATATATATGTGTTCAAATAAATAAATAAATATTTATTCGTCAAATGTTGCGGTATAACATGTTAATAATTTTAAATAGAATTTATGGGTATAATATTTATTAAAATGAACTGCCCGATAATGAAAACCATAGATAAAGACATACTGGTTAGAATTCGCCACATCTATGTGTATTTAACAAATCAACTGCTCCTGTGGAGCCAGTTGTGTAAGACATGCAATTCGACAAGTCCTTCATCTCAGAACAGAACACTATTCGTCTTGGTTGAGGAAAGGATATGTAAGAGTTCTTTTCCCGCTCACTTGGTGGACACAGGACGTCAAGTTGACTTGAATAAAGCTTTTAAGATTATCTATAATATTCCATCAAATTTACCACATGGTTTATGAGTTTGTCTGCTGCATATTGCTGAAGCTAACGGAATTCATGTTCACAAACCTAACATTTACATCCGAAAGAAGTTTTTATAACCATTCTCACTTCCTTGGTCATCGGTTTTCAGCTGAGCTTTCATTAACTCCTTTCTTTCAAAAATATTCAAACAATCTAAGATATGACCTCCTTTCTGTTCGGCCAATATAGCTGCTTTAGCAGGCACACGTAAATTTATAAAAACAGCTGGCAGTAACATGAAAGAGGTACTTGCCGATCTTTGATAGGATTATTGAACATGTTGTTTTACACAGTAATAGTTTGGCTGCCCAGTAAGTTCTGGCTAATGCAGTGTTAAGTTTCCTGCTGAATGTTCTTGCGACGTCATCACAATTAAAGTTGAAATTCATAGATGCTGGTTTTTTGACTGCAGCCACACCCATCTTATTTTTAGATTTTTTATATTTATCGATAAATTTCTATGGGAAGTAGTTGTTTTTAGGAAGTTTTTCCACGTCTATCAATTCTTTCACTTTGTCGGTGTTACATATCATTTTCTACTATACAAAATAGTTTTAACCAATGCTTTCTTGTGACTGATTGAACGGAAATTATTGAAATTCAGGTAAAGACCGTTCCAATTACGTTTTCGATAAACTGAATGTTGAACTATCATTTCTCGCCCCCGTTATATATGAATGTCAAGAATGTACACACCGTTAACAAGTCATAATTGTACGGTGTTGTAACAATTCTGTTATTTTACTTCATCGATAAAGTAAATAATTCAAAAGAAGAAAGATAGTAGTTTCTCGTTATATTTCACAAAATAGTGATGATAATAATAGTAATGTAAGGAATTCGATCATGGCTATTGTAATTCCAAAATCTACAACAAACATTAGTTTCACGAGTTTATATATTCTTGAATGGTATAAACTGGTGACAACTTATATCGTGTTAACTGGTCCAATGACTGAACGCAACTAATAAATATAGGCCAGCAAATACAGTACGTTTCGTGAACCACATAGAATTGTGAATGTATACTGAGTGATTTCGACAGCTTAAAATAATTTTACCATATTGCAATTAAGGGAACTCGCTAAAAAGACTATAACAGTAATTATAGTTCCCTATCATCCAAATTAATCAATCCGGTTTCTATTAGAAACGGTTGACAAGGTAACGTACAGCAAATCCCACTATATATATATATAAGATTTGAGTTATTAAGTATGAAATAATGAAATTCACTGGGAATAACGTCTACTTGTTACTTTTAAGCATCATTCTCTTCGAACGTGAAACTGTGGACGGTTCAAATACTACTACACAAAATGTAACTGCTAATTTAACAAACATAGTTTTCAAATGCCAAATTAAAGATCAATACTGCAAAACGGTTACGAATAATGAATTAGATAAAACCGAACTAACTACATTATGGAGAGTACTTCATGAGATACAAAAAATTCTAACCGGTTTCCATTGCTATCAATCAGCTTAGCTTAAAGGTATATAATATTTATAAATGCATTATTGAACAAAATTATTTATAGTTATCTGGTTTGTTTATAAAAATATTGTTGCAACACACTTTTATAGCATATTTTGGGAAAAAAGAAAACGATTTTTGAAATGATATAAATATACTTTTGAAGTGCTAACCGTCAATATTTTTGATGTTGTAAGCAGTTTCGATCTGATGACAGCAAAACTGGTCATTGATGTTTATTGTAAATTTGCGTTGCTCTGAAATGGTAATTTGATGCGTTTCTGACAAACTTATTATCCTACCTCTCCATTACTGGTATCTAATGAGTTTGACAAAGAGTTTATTTGTTGATAAAATTGACCTTTTAGGTCTATGTATAACACCAATAGTTTTTGTAATGCCATGTATAACAATATCAGTATATATGTTGTGACTTTATGCCCGTCCACTTGAGTCCAGAACACCAGTACCAGCTTCCACTATGCGAATCGAATCATTTATATCAGACATACTGTGTTTATATATCAACCAAACAGACCGCAACGCACCATAAAATAGGAAATAACATTTGTACACAATAAAGTGACTGTAAACGTGGGAGGCAGTAGTCAATAAACTGAACATAGCTTAAGAACAGTAAATCGTACAATAATAATATATAGATCAAAATAAAGCTTATAATAAGAGGAATATAAATATATATAATCTAATTACTGAATAGTCACACCATAAGAATATATAGATAATATTAGTCAATTAATATGTCTCAGGAGTTACTTGTGATTTAATCTTCGCTAGGATATAACAATATAGACAGGATTTTTGTTGCTTGAATTTAGGTTTTAATCAAGGAGATGCAGTATCAGTGTGCAGGTGTCGGTGATCTTTCTAGATTAAAGACTTAAGATAAACATTGGGAATTTGAACTCATGTACCCAAGTAACAATATCAGCACCGTTGTTATTACGGATCACTAGCTTCATATATCAATCATAGGTACTGAAAATAGAACAAAGGTCACCGAAAAGTCGACAGATGGACGTCTCTGCGAGTTTCCTATCGCGTGGGTTTCGTGGTAAGATGACAATGGAGCCTTTTAGATCTCCCTTATGTTAATTTCAAAAACACGAATCTGGTTGGTTTAGACTAGCGTTGGAGCGATCGTCATAGGAACGGAACCAAGTGTCAAACTTGGTATTTCCCAAAGGATTATAAATAAACTCGGCAATGTTGCTGTCAAACAGTGCCAGAGCATTTGCTTGAGGAAACACTTTTCAGCATTCCATAGTGCACACTCTTGGTGGTATGAATATTCCAGTTCAAATAAGTGTTTGTAGGGACGTGACAGTTTAGGCGTGAGCGGACGAGACCAAAAATACTTTTGTTCGATCCACAGATGAACACTGTCGACGAGACATATACAAGGACGAAGCAGTTGTCCAGGTTTTCAATGGTTATCTAACGTTTACCAGTTACTGACCAGAACAGGGTTCCATCCTCATTATTGAAGCAGCGGATGATAAAAATTGTATATGAATCCTCACCAGACAAATGTCGTTGAGTTTCTTGACTTTCACAACAGATCAGATATGTTCAAGTACCGGGGTAACATTTCCTAACTCCAAATTTAATATATTAGACGGTACTATTTTAATTCAGCCCTCTAATTAGAGTGAGAAGTGCAATTTTCTAATGAAAGCCCTGTTAATTATGACCCCAGAACTAAAAATGCATTTCGGATTAATGTTATGTATCAATCAATGATTAAGACAGATGGACAGTGTTTTTTACTAAATATAATCATCGTAAGAAATTAATGTAACAGAAATGTGCTGAAGATTGACCTTAGACCTACCTCAATATTGGTTTCCTTGCTAATAAGTCGTATTTAGGGACTCCATATCCACAAGAGGACCATAGACCTGGATATCAGACTATGACAGTTGCCCCGCAAACAAAACACAGTCAACCAATGGTCTCACTGAAGATCACAAAAGCAACAACCATAAATAAAACCTAAGCAATTACCATGATTCATAATTAGACATGGATGAAAATAGCTGGTTGATTATTCACTACCAACTACTTCGAAGTAACTCATTTGGAGTGCGAGTGACATACAAAGCCACCTTTCTTAGTCACCCGTGACACGTAACGTAGTTAGTTATTTCTGTTGGTTATGAATTGTTGATTTCAAGACACTGTAGACATGCGACCACACAGTCAATCACTAATTAAGGTCCAGTACAGCATAGTCCGATCTATAGAGAGCTGATTGTTAGTCAATGTAAATAACTCCTAAGAATGAGTGGATCCAGGTATTTTATTGGGTGCAAAATAAACCCTCATTTAGCATCTTAATTGGATAACCCGATACACAATCCTCTTGTCAAAGTACCACGACTTTCGCTGTATATAATTATTTGCGAAAAGATAGTACAGGAATGAGGTTTGCTCGTGGAGGAATTCCAATGTCGTACGTGAAACCTGAAAAAAAAAACGAAAGCATATCTGCTCGAAACCCAATCAGTTAGACAGGACTATCTTTTCTAAACTAAAAATATTCAGGTCAGGTACTTAGAGAGAGGGTATTTCGACTAGCTATGAAGCCAAAGGCTTTAATCAAATAATAACCTTAGTATCAAATCTCGCTACAACCCACAGAGCAGTTAAATTTTGAGATTTATAACAACAAATCTGATAAAGTTTAGAAAATATCTATGAACTTGACAACATCAAAAATATTAACTTCTTTTTCTTCTGACGATTGTAATGAACTCAGATATGATGAATGTGAAGCGTATTTATGTCACTTCCACGTCATACAGTGTTGATAAATGAGAGCTAAAGCATCATATTTATCCAACTGTTTACCGAGCAAGAAATACAATCGTGAATAATTGAAAATCAATTAGTGGTTAATTAACTAGACGCCTTGCTACTCTAATAAACATACAGCAAAATAAACAACAGAAGCATAGTTATAAGATGTATATTTAATACAGCGTAAAACGCCTCATAAAGCTGGAATGGACATTCTACCATTTGATGTGGATCGTAACAGTTTACAGAAGTGAAACCATATACAAAAAACAGAAATAAATTATACACCAGGTCACGCGGAAGAAAATCTAACGCCTTGACACACGACCAGCTGACCTTGAACGGCGACGTCGACTCTTGGACGGTGAATGAGAACGTGATCGACGTCTTCTCCCATAACGTTTCTTGCTCCGATTGTACAATTTACGACAAAGTTCTCTGGAAATGGGTTTCAAATGCATGAAGTTGCAGAAGCCACCCCTTGTACATTCCCTGGAGGAAATTGAGACGGAAACACAACCTTATGATTAGTAATTTGATTCAGCAAACTAGGAGTTTGGCAAAATACACAATCCAAGTGCAAACATAGATAGAAAGGGTCATGATGTGGACAATTTTACTAACTTCTAATCAAATAAATCATCCAACATTATTTGTGACCGCCCAAATAAAAATTGTCATTCACGTTGGTGTTAGTAATGATCAGCATGGAACCTGAAGACAATTGCACCAGCTAGTTATTGCTGCCCCCGAATGCCCTGATACGGCTGAGAGTGGGGAGAGTCCGCTCTCCTTCTCGAAATGCTCTTACATAGTCACACGTATATAGCCTCTGCCACGAAAGTCCTACTCATTGCCTTCTCGTGGCGGGGTGTTGCTTACCAAATTGAGAGGACGAAAAGTGAATGTCCGGCGCTTTAACCGGGTTGGTGGATATGGAGAGTTCACCTAGGGGAGTTGGCAAACCCTGATTCCAAACCAATGGTGCACATAGGCTCCAGTATCCTGAAGGAACAAATGGCGTATGAACCAATCGTTGGTCACCAGCTACCATGGGACTGCATCTCCTTACGATGCTCCACTGATTTGTGGATCAGACCTTCAGGTCGAACGCTCCGGGTGTGGTCCCCTAAGAAAACCACTTGCCTCGGTTTGAGCACCCGGGCAGTATCACAGTCCTCACACATATCAAATGAGATTTGTGTGGCGCATATGTATTTGGTGTCTCCTTGTACCAATATCTATGTGTTAAAATAAATAAATAAATAAAGTTATTACTAACATGCAATGAGAACTTTGTAGATCAAATACGACTTAAACAATTTCTAGCCAGATGAAGACAGTTGCAATAAAAAAGGCAACTAAACCCAATTTATTTCGTTTAGTCCAATAGATGCATAGTAAGTCAAAAATGACTACAGCCTGTGAACCACATGAAAAACTTAAGTATAACTACCAGTTAAGTAGACTTGAATAAAATGCGTTGAACATCATTATTCAGTTAGTTAGCTACAACGTAGGACCAGGCACATATATGCATCGGTTCAAGTTGCCATACCGCATTATCACAGCAAGATGAACACCGGATTTATAGGAGTGGTTAAGTCAGTGGTGGTAATATATAGAAGATTGCAATAAGGGTATAGTACAGGAAGAATTAGTTCGTAGAAAGATATGAAGTGATTTTAATCTCTTAGTTTAAAGGAAGACAGAGAGTGTATACACCTACGCCATCGTGATCGATTCTGAACCATGTCACCAAGAGCCTCCAACCATTGGTAATGATAGTTACACGGACCCCAAACAAGTAGTCTAGATTTACCAACATGGCTCAGACTAGAAGTTAATGTCATCAAGCACTGGTGCCACGTTTTGGTTTGACCACCCATAACATTCTTACAACCATCTCCAACACCGGTTAGCATTGCACGTCGTGGTAATCGGTGTTCAGGCATACGCAACACGTGACCCAACTATCTCAGTCGACGAAGATTCACAATCCCAGAAATATTTCTAAGGCATCTGTGGTTAAATACTATTTATTTATTTATTTATTTATTTTAACACATAAATATTGGTACAAGAGAGCGCCAATATATATGCGCCACACAAAACAATGTAACTTCGAAGAGATAGAAAAAAAAACAAAAAAAAAAAAAAACTAAGGAGCACAAAAGAAAAAGAGAACGATAACGAAGAGATTGGTGTAATTTAGTGTGGTCGTAACAGTGGAAAGGAAAAGTACAATCAGAAGAAATCTTTCAAGCGAGGGAGACACAACCACTTTTTATGAAGAAAGTAAAAGAAGGTTACAGCAGGATCGCCACTGGCTTCTATTCTGAGCCATATCTGATAACGTCTCTAGCCACTGTGTAGCACTATCTCTCAGACCCCAACCAGGGAGTCGTGAAGGACCAACACAAGCCAGTCCTTTGCAGCTTTCTTTCATACCACGACACCATGTCATGCACTGACCACCTCTCCGCTTTTTCCAACCAGTCCCAGAGTCGGCAAATAATGCACGACGTGGAATTCTCTGGGACGACATTCGTAGAACATGTCCAAGCCACCGAAGTCGGTGTTTCAAGATGGTGACACCAATTGAATTATCATCTCTGTGCCCAAACACATGATGCCGAACCTCTGCATTACTGACATGGTGTTGCCACTGAATATCAGCAATCCTTCGGAGACAGCGATGATCAAACACAGAGAGTCGTCTAACGTCCTCAACTCGGAGAGGCCAGGTTTCACAAGCATAGAGCAAAACTGCTCTCACCGACGCGTTGTAGATCCGACCTTTTACAGCCAGACTAACATCACGAAGGCGCCAAAGATGGCCCAGATTGGCATAAGCCACTCTGGCTTTCACTATACGTGCATTGATCTCATCACTCACACCCCCACCAGCACTTATGCAACTACCCAGATACACGAACTTCTCGACTACTTCTATCTGCTCACCATCCAAGGTGAGTACAGGATTGGAATCCTGCCAGTCTTGTAGAAGTACTTTGCACTTCGAAGGTGCAAAACACATACCATACCTACGGACACTGATTGCCAACTGATTAAGTGCGGATTGCATGTCTTGGGCATTATCGCACAGTAAGACAATATCGTCCGCATACTCAAGGTCGAGAAGCCTTTCTCCAGGTAACAGATCCACACCACCATTACTTACATTCGTCAGAGCTGTTTCCAGAATGTCATCGATGGCAAAGTTGAAGAGGAATGGTGAGATTGGGCAACCCTGCCTAACCCCACTACTCGAATGGAACAATGGAGAGAGGTGGTTGTATGCCCTCACTCTGCCTGAGGTGTTTTTATATAGGGCTTTTAGGATGTTAATAAACTTCTCAGGCACACCCTTCTTCAATAGACAATCCCAGAGAACAGTTCTGTCCAACGAATCGAAGGCAGCCCTGATGTCAAGAAACACTACGATTGTTGGCCTTTGATAAGTATGGCGATGTTCTAACATTTGGCGGAGGGTGAAGATATGATCAATACATCCTCGACCAGAACGAAACCCAGCCTGCTCCTCGCGAGTCAATCTTTCCCGAGTTTTGAACAACCTACGAAGTATGACGGAAGCCAATAGCTTGGACGCAATCGGAAGTAGACTTATCCCCCGATAGTTGTTACAGGAACGACGTGAACCCTTTTTAAAGATAGGGACAACTATCGACTCATTCCATGACGTTGGTACACACTCTAGTTCCCAAACCTTTGTAAACAACGTCGTCAATTCCTTAGTCAAAAAGTCACCACCATCTTTAAAAAGAGCCGGAGGTAAGTCATCTGGGCCAGGTGATTTGTAGCGCTTCAAGAGTTGGAGTTCCTTGCGGACTTCCTCCTCGTTTGGTGGTTAAATACTAGTAGTTTACGAGTATCTTCTATTCTTAATGGCTATGTTTCGCTGTCGTAAATTAAAACACAACGAACTGTCGCTCAGTATACTCGTCCTTTTATTGATAGACGGATATCTCACCTTCGCCATAGCTTACATAAGTTGACGAAAGCCAAACAAGCTTTACGAATCCATGCTAAGATTTCGTCAGACACCAACTTATTAGGTCTAATCAGACTTCCAAGATAAGCGAAGTTGTCGACTCATTCGATTACTTCACTCCCTATCCTTAGTTCAGGTGTTGACGCAGGCCAGTCCTGAAGCAACAACTTGCATTTAGAAGGAGAGAAGCGCATTCCAAACATTCTGGCATTGTTGCTCAGTGCTACCAAAAGACTGCATTTTATCAGTATCTTCACCAAAAAGGACTGTCATCTGCGTATACTAAGTCCATAAGTGGACTTCCTGGTAGATCAATACCCGAGAATTCAGTCGACGAGAACATTATTTCCATCAGTAGGTCTATGGTGAAGTTAAACAAAAATGGAGAAAGCGGACAGCCTTGACAGACACCACTTGAGGTTGCAAAATCAGATGACAGTTCGCCATAAGCTCTGACTCGACTAGTAGTGTTTGAGTAAAGAGCTTTCACAAGGTTTATGTACTTCTGAGGTACACCTTTCAATGAGATACAATGCCACAGAATGTCGCGGTCTACGGAGTCAAATGCTGCTTTTAAGTCAAGAAAGACCACCATTATCGGACGCCGAAAGTATGCCTGTGTTCTAGAACCTGACGAATGGTAAATATGTGGTCGATGCAGCCACGACCGATTCTGAAGCCAGCTTGATTCTCTCGTGTTTGCAGTTCACGAGTTTTAGGCGTCCGATAATTATCGAGGCTAGTATTTTAGATAATATATTAGTTAAAAAATCCCTCTATGGATTTCACAGGATGATTTTGACCCTCTCTTGTATATTGGGACGATAAGTGACAGTGACCAGTCAAACGGGATAACGTCCAAATCACAAATTTTAGCTAAAATGTTAGTCAACCTAATCGCTTAAATTGGACCACCATCCTTAAAGACCTCTGGAGCCAATTCATCTAAACGAGCTGCCCTTCCTTTCATTACAGACGAGAACTCATATCAATCATACGTAACGTAAATATGGTACATATAAACATCAGTTCAAGTTGCCACAAGAACTCATGACAAATGTGTAACACCCTGAAATCACATCAAATTGACATCCATGTAAGACTGAAGATTAAATGACTATTAACAGTACTGTATAGCATATTGACAAAATTACATAAAAGCTCACCCTAGTTCATACTGACGACAACATGCTTCACGAAAATCTGTGACAGGAGAAAGCTCAGCATGAACTGGTCTTCCACCAAACCAGCGTTCATTTAAATCCTGGACAGCTTTTTCAGCATCTTCTTCACGCCTGAACTATAAACGTGTAAGAAGTATTACAATGAGCTTACTTTTATATAAACGTTTCCAACTAGATGATCACCAAGATTATCACACACATTCATTTCCTCTATTTCTCCATACTAAAAGAGAGGAACTTATCACACAGAAATTTACCTTCTCCTCACATTCAACAAAGACCTCCTCGAAAAATTCGTCGAAGATTTGCTGAGCTTGGACTTCCGTAAGGTTGACTTTTGAGGAATAAAAAAATATTTTCACCAATAATTCAGGAAGAATTGTTATCCAACTTGCGGAACTTAAATCAGTAAATAAAACCAGTGACTGGCATGGCTAAAACGACCATTGTCAAGACATCTACAAAGCTTTATGGTTGCTTATAGTTGAGTGCATTGTTTTGGTCCTGGTAGTCAACGCATCTAACGATCACTGGATTTCAGCCAACCAATTGGACAGAGAACTTAAAAACAAGTTGTCTTTAAAAAACCCAACTTATATACATACACCCCCAGTAATTTGTAAACAGCCTGATCAAAACCTACCGTTTCTAGGGAGATGCCTGGATACCAGCTGTCAAAATACCATAAACGGTTGATATGATTTAATTGCAGTTTATATTTTATCTAGGTGTAAAAATCCTGTTAGAGTGGTCCATGCTTAATTATTGGATATGGGTGCTTATTCAGTACTAAATACTGACAACTGAAACACCTGTGCCGCTCTTACGATTGTCGCGTTCATCCCGAAGATTTTGCTAGGAACTAAATCTTACCTAAAACATTCACTATTGCATTTACTGTAGTTGTTGCAAACGTACTTGAGCAAATCTTCTGAAGCTCTGGTTTAAGTCAGTTGTTTTTATTTGCATTACTGTTAATTAGGAAGCAGCCTTTTCAACTAGTTCAGAAAAATATACTTATAGATGGACGGATGTAGAACCATTGTAAACTTTAGATGTGAAACTGTCAAATCCCAGATGCCACTAAGTACAAAAGTCAACTATTTTTACTACTACCAATAAACCTGCGCAGATTTATCCGGATTAACAATTTAAACGGTTGCTATGTTTACACGCTGGATGACTAAGCGTACTGTTACTGTGGTAACTATTGGCACAAGGTGTAAGATGAAGTATGGAAGGTGACCGGTCATTATACGTATATTCAAGGGATGACAACCGAGTTCCTGTTTATACTAATGTAAATAGTTTTGGGAACTGGATAACATAGATCATATCGCTGCTGTTTACATATGATAAAATAAATCAGCTTACGGCAAACGAAGAGTAACACGCCAATAACTCACGTCACTCACCAATACGTTTAAGGAGTGATGTATTTCATTGTAGGATGCTTTCTTGGTTAAGACCACATGCATAATTTGTGAACCGTACTTCTATAGACATTGAGACAACTTGTTCTACGGATGATTTGTAGATATTATTGCAATAACCCTCAAATGTTAACAAGAACTCTAGTAAGCCATGTGTCCAAATAAATAAATAAAATAAGCCAGTTTTGTATACCAACATAACACGATGTCAGCATGGTCTTGTTCTACCAACGAGGAAGAATATCCACTTACCATAAAAGCGAGAGTACTTAAGACTACAAATAAACCCCTCCAGAGATTTTACTTTACTGCTAAACTAGACACGGTAAAAAATAATTTATCTACAAGGGACTTGACACGTATGGTTACTGATTAGACACCTAATTAACAAACAGATTTTTAGTGAAACACAAGTGTACTTACAGACATTCCTGATAAATGATCAGCACTGGCCTACATGGTCTTATCGGTCATCCGCACTGATGTTAAAGTTGATTAAGCGGTCCAAAAGTGTACCTAAAAATCGTCATTCCTGCTCATATTTCTGATCTAATACCCATCTGTTTATTCTACGTCTAAATACTATGCAGAAAAATATTTACTGGAAGACATACCTAAATATCACACTAGTCGTGCCTAAATACCAGATCTTTATAAAATATATAACCAAAAAATACTATATAGCTTACTGTGAGACCCATCAGCACTCTGCGCTGTATTTTGAGGAGCTATATACAGGTTTTGTAGCAAAATAGTCTATGCATAAAAAAGTTGAAAACCAATTGTACCTGACCGAAAGACGGTTTGTTATGCAGTCTTGAACATTGCTCTCCGTGACGGCATGCACCGATTTTGAAGTAGAACGAACAATTAACTCTGCATCAACAAATAATTTGAAAAGGGGTTCCTACTTATCCTTTTCCGTACCAAATATCGACGCTAAATACTCCGCCATGTTCACGAGGATCAAATTGCGCCTCTTTCCCGAACGGAATAAAACAATAAACCCGCGAGATCTGAACTACGTCTTTAAGTTCATGTACTAAAATGAAAATCACTTTACTTGTTGTGATGTAACATATATGACTTCCTTATAGTAAGAGTCTTATTCCTGTTTCTTTCTCTTCTAACATATACTTTTGTTGCGAGCTTGTTTAAACCGACTAATTTCTTTGAGTTCTATTCGTGTTGTTTCGCTGCTGTCCCAGGTCTCTAAAAATGTTTAATAGGTGGTAGTCTAGCCACTCGACTTTACCTTTTCAGGTCTCCTCTGTATTGAGTTTTTGTGTAATCTGACCTGAATCAGTCAGCTTGTATCATGGCATCAAAGTTTATGTGACCTTAGTATTCACACTACCAGGCAGACGTTTATTTGATTGAAATGTGAAAAAGAATCAAGGGAGAACTTCATTTTCAATAGGAGATGACTTTCTCAGAAATAGTGACAATCTTGATGAAAAAATGTAGAGGCTTATTTATGTTTTTGCTCTTTTATGTGCGATTTCATAGGGTTGCCTCGCCGAGCGTGGTTGTGTCCTTGATAACGTATTTTAGCTTACCAACAATATTGTGTAGTTATAAGACCACCCCTAATTCTCTTAGACAGATTTATTTCTAAGCTCCATCAACAACATATTTACTCATCTTCGCATGTGGTCTGAAATATTTCTTTTTTTGAAAAGAAGGCTAAACGACTTTATTTACTTCGAGATAAGGCCTTGACTATGTTTTAAACAGCGTCAGAAACAATTCTTGAGTGACTTTCTACACCTATCTTTGATAAAGTGAACAGTAGGATTTGTTGCAGCTGAAAGATGACATACTTTCAGATGAGTTCTGTGCTCTCTATGATTAATCGTCCTAGACTGCACTCTGAGGAGAATAATGCCAGTGGATTTTCATAGAGGGTGTAAGTTGTTCCTGTCCTACAGGAATGAACATTCGCGACTTTACATTTTGATAGGTTAAGTGGTATTCTGTTGTCCTTTGCTTACCTTCCCGTTGTTGTGAGGTCACTTAAAGCTCAAGTGGATCTTTTCAGTTTCTTATGTAACTCCATACCTTGGCATCTCCAGGATACACGAGAGTCGGTGGGTTAATATCGCCTAGTTGATCACTGATGAAAATCAAGGAGAGTAGATGACCCAAAATAGTTCCATGTGAGACTCCTGATACTAAAGTGTGCAGAACGTTCGGTTCTATAAGTAGTATTGAGGTCAAAGTAGAAGTGAATTAGCGAAACACCTCTCCGTGTGCCTTGTTATAAGGAATCCGTTCGGCATTATGCCAAACGCTGTTGAGAAGTCAAGAGGTGTTATAGACCGATATTGTTTGGTCCCAGAAGGTTGTCTGGTCGTCCCATGTTAAGTGAACAATAGACACACGGGTCCTGGCTTATCCAAACCCATCTCGGCCTTGATAAGGGACTCTGTTATTGTCTGCGCATTCACTGCCTTGACCATTGGCCGATC